ATTAGCACAAACCGTTCTAGCAGATTTAAACAACTCTTTTAGCATTTTAAAGTAATTTACAAAAAAATGAAACTAATTTCAAATAAATTATCATCATTAGCATTGTTTGAAGAGTTGCGAGAGAACATTAGCAGCAAACGTCATTACATCACGACAACCATTTAAGCTTGCGTTGACCTCGCAAAGTGATATGCCACGTGAAGGATCTGCATGCAGTTTGTCTAGATCTCACTTATTAACTAGAACGCATGTTCCTTTTATAATATGATCACTTTACGAACAGTGTTGTCAACAAGGACAAAGTTTGCCCTCTTCGGTGATCTTTCTTTTGCCTCCAAAGTGTAATTTAAAATCATAAATGATTGATCTTAATCCCAACATTGATCTTAATCACAAAAATAGAATGATCTCGAAAGTAAGACTAAGAATACTTTATAATTTCTTACATGACAGTCAAAAATTTTCTGAAAAAAATAATGAAAACGAAAAAAGTTTCAGTGCTCTCTGCAAATGAGTTTATGACCGCAATATCATTTAATAATCTCATGATATGGTCAGTTATTTAAATTAACAACAAACATAGTTGCATTTTGAAACGAAAGACTAAATTATAACTATCATTATGTTATTATGACATTATAGCGATCCAAAAGTTGCAGGAAAAATTATCCTGAAAACGAATTAACGTTTGCAAAAAATTGCGCGATTCAGCTTATTGTCTGGAGATTGGATTGGCGGCCGTAAAATAACAGGTCAATCTCATAACCAAAGTCAGTCCCTTGAATAATAATGAATTTCAACGAACATATCCAATATTGCTCAAATACAATACGTTATAACATCATTTTAATATGAATTTATGCCACTGTTCTTATGCTTATTTTTTACAAAATATAAAGCTTGAAATATGTGCAAAGTTTGTAAACACGTTGATAAAAGAATATTTTCTGATTAAATTTTGTTTAAATTTATGAAAACATTCATTCATATGCTTTCTTGATCATCATTAACTGGTGCACTTCCTCCAATCCAACATAAAGTTACTTATCATCAAGTTCGAGCTAAGTACCAAAAAAATTTTCGCAAGACATAATAATACAAAAATATCGCCTATGTGATATTAACAAGTACTGTTTTTGAATATTCTCATAAATGTTTGGAAGTTTATAAATTAGAAAAAACTGACTTCAAAATAAATTTGTGACAAATAGGAATAATGGTGAGATTCTCAAAATGATTTATGAAAATCATAAGGATTGCTCATTCATATTTCACTAAAATGTCAACGAAAATTTTTATACAATGTCAAATCTGCGGATTTCTGAGCAGAAATTGTTTAGTGAAACAAAGATGAAACTGCTGAAGCAAAGAATACTAGCAGAGAGTTTGAGTTTCATTTAATCTCAAATCATTCAAGAATGGAGATTCTAAAGCTTGACAACAATCAAGTATGATCGACCCTTGCAAGTTCTTTTTTCAGAAGCAAAGACATCATCTGGTAATGTGAAATTATATGCTACTGAAAATCTTCCCTAAAATATACGTAATTAAGGGGGCACAAAAAATCAAAATATGATAATAAATGTTGGTTTTTAATTAAAGCACTCACATATTAACAAACAGACTCTTTTGATTTCTGAAATTGTACACTGTAATTAGTTAGCGCCTCTGGCAAGCTCATACTTATTGAACCCAAAAACTGCATGGAATTTTGCAAAAACGATTAGCTGAAATTCGAGTTCAAAATTATCTCTGTCTAAATACATATTATTTTGTTGGACAGTGGAATTATAGTTCGTTTTTTCATAAGCTAACTAACAGTCATTTAAATATGGTACAGTCAGATTTTGTCAGCATGCAGTTTGAAATTACCTTGCGGCTGAATCCACCTTGAAATGAAATACGTAATAACAGTAATCAGATGATTTTATTCCTTATAGCTTTTCGGATCATTCAGTACATTAATTTATTATTTTTGGCCTTATTATAATAATCGCTATGATTTTATTATTATTATTATTATTATTATCATTATAAATTGTTATCAATATTATTAGTTATCATTATTATTATTGTTATTATTATTTATTATTATTTCTATTACTACCACTATTATTAATCATTAATCGTTGTACAATAGTTAATCAAAAGAAGGAAAATGACTTAATAATAATAATGGTACTAATGCTTGAGGTACTAATAATGGTTTTAAATTATCAAAAACTAAAATAAGAAATGAAAATATAAGCCAAAACAACCAAACATTGACTATCACGCTAATAGTAAGCACCGCTAAGTCATATTGAACGTCAAATTAAATCTGAAACGCCAGATTAATTATTTTGTCTTCCATTTTATTTCATTTACATGAGTAATTACTGATTTTTCTACAAGATATTTTTAGCTTTTCGAAAGATTTTCAGTTGTGAATAATAATTAACTGTAATGACAGTATCATTCCACATGGTGCATACATTTCGAAGAAACTAAAAAGTGAATAATTATTCTGCTTATAGTGAGCAAAATTATAGTGACATAGTAGAATTAATTAAGTGAGAAAAAGACTACAGTACTGCACTTAGATTATGTTGAGGTAGCAAAGTAATTTATTGATTGAATGAGAGCGATTTGTAAAGGATATGTTAACTGTAGTTGAAGACATGGATAGACAGGTAGAAAAATACAATAATAGAAGATGGATAGATAGGTAGATAGATAGCTGGATGGATGGATGGATGGATGGATGGGTGGGTGGGTGGGTGGGTGGGTGGATGAATAGTGCAGTGCATACAAAAATTGTTTTACATGTCTTCATTAAAGTTTAAATTATCAGACAAAAATTTGCATAAAAGTAGAAAAGAAATGGAGAAGACATGTGGGGATATGAAAGTAAGGGAGCAGACCAGACAGGTAGTAACTCAGTCAGTTTCATTTCTGAAGAGGTGTGCTTGCATTTTTCACGTTTATCGAAGGTAAATTTGGTATCAATTTTCTACTTTCTCAATTTTCATTGCTGAAACAACACTAATTATTGTATTTTTGATCACTAATTATTGCATTTTTGATTAATATTACCTTAAAGTGACTGTTTTTGGTTTCGATATGAGTTACTCTATTTGCTGATTCGTAAGAAAGTAATCGAAAGTTTTGGAATAAAAAGTAAACATTTGAAGTTCATTACGTAAATAAATGAATTACTAGTCATTAATTTAGTTGGTTATGGAGTATTTTTCAGCTACTGATGGAGAACAATCCTATTCAAGAACAACCTTCATCAACTCCACAAAATGACGCCTTTAATGCCAATAATCTGCGATCATTTTTAAATATTGGCGGGAATGTAAGTGATAAATGTGCATTAGAAGAGATACATTTAAAATTCTTGATAGCTTTGTATAGACAAGAAATTGAAGATCAAAAAGCGTGGACGAGATATAAAACTTTTTTTATAATACTTATAAATATTACAGCAAAAATAAGTAATCGATTTGTGAAAATAAGTGAGACTTTTTTATACAGCTAATACATTGGAAATACAATGTTCTTAATTAATTTGTATAAATCAAGAAATAACTTTCTGATGCAACAAGCATAAATTATGCAAATTAAAGGGAAGATTAAATGACGTCACAATGTTTTACTCTAATAGTCTAATTAAAAGTTTTACAGTGAAAAAGACATAATCATTTAAGTAGAATAATAAGCAGGAGGAAATCACTTAAGATTTCCTGGAAAAATGCTTTCAGCAAGCTAAAAATTGGACTGTGAGTTGTTTTCAATTCGATTATTTTGCTTTACAGTTCGTGCATGAATGGGCCGCAACACTTTTCATTTTTGTAAAATACTTAAATATTTTTACAAAATATTTTCTGAAAATATCACTGATATGGCTGGACATTGACATTAGCATGCGCACATAAAGTGATTTTATAGCAGTCTACAAATCAATATATGCTTAATCTCAACAATTTGCTGGAGTTACCTTACTTCCAAGAACTGATGTTGATATATGAGATTCAATACAATGCCACCAGAGATGCCCTCAAGCGTTTTCTCGAAGAACAGGTTATTAACTTGTATCTTATTTCAGTTAAGGTAGTATTTCTTCAGCCCTCAAAAAACATATTTAATTTTATGTTCAATATGACTTAGTGGTGCTTACTATTAGCGTAGTAATCAATGTTAGTGGTTATTTTTATTTTCCAATGATTTATAAGTTGTTTTGGCTTATATTTTCTTCTCTTATTTGAATTTTTGAGAATTCAAAACCATTTCATGCGAAGTCAGAAATTTAAAGGATACTTACAATTTTGTAAATTTTAGCTTAATTCTATAATAGAAGTACTTTTCAGCCAGCTTTGTTTCTGCCCTTTTTCACAAATTTGCTATGGTCTTCATTTGTGAATCCGCTCCTGGCTTTACAATTAAACATGTTAGCTAATTTATATGCGCAAGCTCAAGAATCACAAGCAGCACCAACAGAGTCAGAGATGCTAGCTCGAGAAATCTCGAGTCACTCTCAGCTACTTCATGACAGAAGCGCACGTAATGAGTTCGTTAATCAGCAATGTTTATGATAAAAAAGACGACAATGTTTTTGCAAAAATCACACGACTCTGCCTGTGCTAACTTGTTTAATTGAAAATATAAGTATCATAAAAAATTAAATACTTTGCCTGCGCTAACATTATTTTCAAATAATAGTAATAATATTACTCATTATTACTATTATTTGCTTATATAAAACAGTTAACTATTAATGAAAATCAAAAATCTTTGCAGTCTTCAAGATCCTGCTAATATTTCACCTAAGAAGCAAAAAGCAAGCGAGGAATTATGTGGTTTTGTGAGCAAGAGAAAAAAAGGCGTACGTCGAACTGAAAACGCTGTATGCTTTTTGGTTTACAGTTAATTTAACTTCTCACTTTATTAAATTATTGTAACTTTAACAACAGTAATGTATGAGAAAAGATTATTCAATTATAAATCCAAATTTGGTCGCCACATTATTTATGTCTGAATTAAAATGAAAGACAATATTTTTAAAGAATCTTTTAGTGTTTACTCTGATAAGATTTGTGAGATACTGTACTATATGATGAAGACTGAAACAAATGTTAATTACAGCAAAACATTTTTGCGTTTCTCATTACAGCAACAGAAAAACAACGTCATTATATGCAATATTTGCGAGAAACCAATGAAAAATCGAGCAGCATATGTGAAACATCGTAGACGTCATCTTGGAATTTCAGAGCTTACTTATGCGTGTGGCACGTGTGATAAGCGATGCAGTGAACGCCGTCATTTAGCAATTCACTGCAAAAATAAGCATCATGAAGTGCATACATGCTTATTACTCTGTTAGGAAAATAGCACTGTTATTCATTGGCTGTGTTTATCTGTGAATATTCATCAACACTTTACTGATACATATTTAAATCGAACAAAAGCAATGAATAACAGCCACGCCTGAAATCTCAAATTGCATCAGAACTTAGGTAACGAGCGTAAAACTGAACGTTTTCAAGAAAGCAGCCCACAAAATGATTGCATTACGATTTAGACGAGCTTTCGTATTCAAAATACTTTAGATACGAATAAGATGGTGCTAATAAAATTAGAAGACAACGTTGCTTAGAAGTATTTTTCTGTTGTTGTGTTCAAAAGCTGGAAAACAAAATAACATCAGATAAATGCTACTTGCTTCTTGATCTGATAAAAATAAATCTGTAACTCAAATATAAAGAGTTTGTTTCAGATGCCGTCGCTGACAACTGAGTGTGAGAAAAAAGCTGGAAATAAAATGATGCCTAGTAGCAGTTCGGATAGAGATACTCAAGCCGATGGTGATCAAATGAATTAGAAGGTATGCGGCATTAGCTCAAGCTTAATGCATGAATTTTAAAAACTTCCTTCAGTATCAATGAAATTAACATAGCCTTCTAAACTAGCATGTCTGCTATTCCCATACTTTCGCTTTAACTAAAATTAATTTGTGCTGCTGAATGAATGCTTGCGACTTCAACTATAATTTCTTTCCTACCTAATAAAATAATACTTAATCAAGATAAGCCATATGTACATCTAGTCCAGATGTCCTAGATGCATGACACATTTCTTTTGCTGCTTTCAGCTGAATCCTGCGTTTAGGTAATAACGACATTACGGCGATTTAGCTATATTTCTAGCAGAGCAAGTAACCAACTACGCAAGCAATCATCGCTATAGAAGGAAGAAAATGATTCCACCTGATCGTAATGTCAAATGACTACATGACCTTTCCATTTGAAATACATCCCAACTAAAGTAGCACAATATCTTCCTCTTTTTGCATGTACCAACTTCACCCCTCATACAGTAAGTTCTTATGCTATTATTCTTGCTTGCAGTGATTATTTTTATATCTCACTCTCTTGCTCTCATGCATGTACATTTTGTTTGCTGTTTTTATAGTTAAACGTAATAAATTCTTTTCTTATTCGCGGATACAATAAACGCCAAATTCCTTTCCCAGCTACAGATATAATTGGTAGGACAAATAGTACTGTAACATAATTGGTGACCTTTACATCGCTGATATGAATTCCTGATATTGATAAGTAATGAAGAATATTAATTTGAACTGAATTTCAATGTAAACCATTTAAATTTGGTTCATTATAAATGAAGCTTCAAGTTTCGGGTAGTAAATAACCGAACAAAAGCTATGTTCTTATTCATTTATATAATAGCATAAGAATTTACTGTATGATAAATGATGATATATATCGCAACTGAAGTAGCACAATATTAGCACGAAGATACAGACTCTTCACATACTCGATCCAGTATTATAGTTTTGTAATACAAAAAGATAGTTTCATTTCGTTATTCATGCTTGTTATTTGGCAAATAAATAGTTTACACTCGCTTTTAAAAACCTGTCGCCTCTCTATACACGATTTTCAAGATAAAAAATTATCAATTCTAAAACAAAAAAGGTCGAGTCACTTTATTGAGGTTTTAACTATTTATCAAGAATTAAGATGATTTACAAAACCTTGGCAACAACTCATCAAACAACCCTTCTGTACGGAGCAGATGGACCTACAGATGTTTCAAACTGCTTTTAATTGAAAAAAATATAAATAAAACAAGCGAACTTTTGGAAGATACAGACACTTTACATACTCGATCTAATATTATAGTTTTGTCATACAAAAAGATAGTTTTATTTCGTTATTGATGCTTGTTATATGGCAAATATGTAATTGATAGGATGTCATCATAGCATAAATTTTTATCAGAATCTTTCTTTCATTTTGAGCAACAGGACAAAAAGACTGAAAAAAATAAATTCTTGATTAATAATGATGTTCGATCAAAACAAAGTCCACTTTACAATATCCAATCTAATCTCATGTAATTATAAAAAATAATAATAAAGCAACCATTCAACAGGAAACTGTTAATAACCCATCAAATATTCGGCTGCAGAGCACTATTTCTGGTTCGTTTTTCACGTATTTTTTCTGACCCTGAGAACTTATTGGTTTTCGAGGTTTTTTTGGAACTATTTCTGTTTCTCACCGAATGATGATTACTTCTAAAAATATACAGAAGATGAATAACAAAGCTTTATTAAAAAAGGTGACTTTTAAAATGGTGAAAGAGATCTAAATAGGGGACAAAACCCTGTGATCCATTTTACTTGTCATAACTCAATCAATATCAGTATTTGCCCTACGAATGAGTGAGAAAAATTTCAAACAAGTTTTAATAGTAATTTATTTAAAGCATAAACACATTAAATGGCATATATAATAATGTTGACCAAACAGTAATTACTATCTCTATCAGAATTCAGCTTCTTTTACTAGAGAATCGAGATTTGCAACAAACAAATTTTATTTTATCAACAGCTTACTTCTCTGACTTCATTTTTACTGCCAGTTTTCTTTTTTCCTTCAGTAAATTTTGTTGAGCTACATCTTTTAAAAGTCTAGTTACAGCCTTTTGTATTTTACCGTCTGATATCTTCGTTCTCAAACGAGTCTGTTTTTTAGTAACCATCACAAAAGGATTCTCACCAGATGCTGCAGCTCTAAATCTAAAAAGATAATGAGTCAATAGTGAGAATAAATGTAAACATGACAAGGAACTTCAAAAAAGCTTCCTCAACTTAACCTAAATGAAAATTGCTTATAAGATGTCTAATGAAAATTGCTTACGTTTCTGATGTTGAAAATTTCCAAAAAAATTTATCAAATTTCAGTGTGAACTTCTTGTCAATTTCATAGCTAAAATCCAAACTTATGAATTGAATATAATAATAAAAACCGTTTAGCTGCGTCGAACAATTTCCTTCTGCGAGAACTTCGTAAGGTACTTTTTTTTCCAACCTTTGATAGCAAATTGCTTATTTTTTTATAGTTGAACTGAAAAATTAAAAATCCGAATCCATCGATTATTTTTACAAAATCGTGCTTTTAAATAAAAAGAGAGATATAATTTTAAGGCATTTGCAATTGAATTTAAAAAAAATGAAAATTCCCAGTTAAATAACATAATGAACCGTTATGATGTACACAGGAATAGATACTACTACATTTGTAAATAAACTTCGCATGAACTGATAATTCTCGAGAGTTATATGTATTTTGCCTACTTTGATTCCTCCAATATTATCACATTGCTTTGACGATTTTTTTGCTCTACTGTTTTCTGCCAATTCTTCTGCGAATTGATGCAAAATCGTTAAAAATATTTCTTCCAGAATTGAATCAAAAAGATACTCTCTATAAATACAAATTAGAAGCTTAATAATAATTAATATTATCAAAAGTAGGAATATAGAACTGCTTTCAAAACCTTGCAATAGTTTTATATCACTAAAAAGACAATGAAAAACTTGAAATATTGCTCGCAGATGAAAAAATGTGAAGTGAACGAGCTTTTAAAAATAAAAGTGAAATATTATTTGAAAGCTTAATCAAAAACAGCTTTTGAAATTTTTCCTCAACATCTTTCTTTTATTCAAATTTTTTAGCAAGTGAGAAATAAACGCTATGAAGATAAAGCAAATCCTCTTCAGCTACTAAGCAATAAAATGAGAATTTATAAGATGAGATAATAAGCGAGTGTATATTAAAACTAACGACAATGTACCATCAGCAAGCAATTCAACGAACGGCTTTAGCATGTAAGTAACCTGATCCGGTTCCAAGCCACCTAGAAACAGAATTGATAATTTTCAAAATTGGTTATCTACGAAAAGACATGAAATGTTTGAAAAGTAACACAAACTAACCAGCACCATCCAATTCATCCAGATAAATCGATAAAAAATGAAATTTTAATCCATCCACAAACGACTTATCTGTAACATTTTAACTACAACATGAAAACACAAGATAATTTAAAAGCAGAATATCTAAGAAAACTTCCCAAGAGACAAGAAAGACAAGCAAAAAACAAAAATATACTTTCAGACAATTTTTCATAATTAGACAGATATTACGAAATTAGGCAGCTGACCATTTGAGATGACACAATCCTTAAAAGCATTAATATACATATCCGTAACTGCAGGTTCCCAATCTTTTAAACGTAAGCGCAAAAAAAGAGCACGAAGAACTCGACGCATCAACTGCAAATTGTATTACTGCAACGCAAAAAATCCTTGCATTTTATAAAAATAATAATTCATTTACTGAAGATCCCTCATTCTATTATTTTCATCACTGCAAAAAATAACTCAATGACTTAAATCTTCATGGAAGAAACTGCACTGCGCACATTAAACTATCTTACTGCCAATTTGCCAACAACTAAAGCAAATTTATTGCGGCTTATGAACAGAAAAAAACTTGACTCTGATATGAAAATATACCATAAGAAATTTATCCATTCTCCAACGATCAATTCGCGTCCACTCCTTTGAAAGAGTAATTAGTAAACACTTGAAAAATAAAACAGATTCAGTCTCTCTTTCGAAAACATTCAACAAAGATGCAATATCATCTGCTAGTTGCTCCTGCCATAACATCTTATCTTGCATCCACATTGCATAATGTAGCCCTTTAGCCAAATTAAGCAAGGAATCATAGCCGAATTCTAAAATGAATTCGAATCATCTCACTAAATATATTATCTAGCCAATCGAACTCATTATGAATGGAAAATGAAAAAAATACTATTAATGCTTTCACATGATGCACAAATAATGTCAAAAATAAATCCACAAAAAATCTACTACTTATTCAGTATTATTCAGTACATTAAAAAGAGTTGCCTACCCACCGAAGAAAGGTTTTTTATATCAACAGCCTAACAAAGCTCTGCTGATAAGAAAAGTATTGGCAAAGCAACCTTGTTTAGCTGATTCTTTTCGAATCCAATTAGAAAGTGTTCGAAATGCTCGCTGGCGAATGACCGGTTCACCAGATGCCAATTTCAACGCAAATAGAATCTCCGTCTCTTTTAAGCCCATATCCATCGTTTCTGGATTATGTATGCAGTACAGTATGCAAATGAATAACAAAAAGAGCACAAATGATACAAACTGACATATGTAGTGAAAAAGATGGCATGATAGTGAAATAAGTATCCACTCATTTTTTGAACAAATTCAAAGATTAGTCACATAAAATTATGAAGCTTTGGCAGATTTCAGATATAATGTAATAAGATATATTAAGTCTACGAGCTAATTTCAGCGCAGAATTTACATTGCATTAAATAAATACTTGCAGTAACTAACAAAAACGAAGTTTATAAACTTCTGCGCCGATATTTAACACATGAATAAAATAATCATTTCAATGTGCACTGAAAAGATATTGCATAAGGCTATCGCGTGTTGGCTTGAAAATCACAGTTGGTTGGTTTGTCAAAAGCAAAACATTAACGCTACAATTAGAATTCAATTACTCAGATCAAAAAAGATCAAAAAGCGATATAGCTAATTTTTATAAAAATATCAAATTGATAGCAATGAAAAACAATATCTTAACAATAACATCTGATTCGCAGACTGGTTTCCATGTCCTACCAAGGAGAAAAATTTTTTAAATGTGCTAATTCCATTAAATAAAAGGTTTGATGAATCTGCAACAATCTCTGAAGTATCTAAACTAACCAATCGTCATAGTGTTAATTTACAATAAATTGAATACCCATTGAAATCAAGCATCCAGCCCTAATCTAGAATTTTGTAAGCAAAGTTGATTAAAATCAGGCTAAAAG